AGGTGTTTTTTCGAATTCTGATCGAAGTGCGGATCGGGGTGTTCCGGACCCCCCTGGGGGAAACGGCTTGGTGGGATGTTAGAACATGTTAAATAAACACGATTCGCACAAAAAAATTTTGGGCGTTAGCCAATTTTTTTGAAATATAATTTTTTAGCGCGAACGCCATGTAAACCCACCCTAACTCTGAAAAAGTATGTTCCGGACCCCGCTCGAGCGATCGACTATCATGGGCTGTTAGAACACGTTAAGTTGACCGGATATCAGTGAAAAAATTTTGGGCGTAAAGCGATTTTGAAAAATGACAGGTGTTTTTTCGAATTCTGATCGAAGTGCGGATCGGGGTGTTCCGGACCCCCCTGGGGGAAACGACTTGGTGGGATGTTAGAACATGTTAAATAAACACGATTCGCACAAAAAAATTTTGGGCGTAAGCCAATTTTTTTGTAATATATTTTTTTTCGTGAGGACGCCATATAAACCCACCCTAACTCTGAAAAAGTATGTTCCGGACCCCGCTCGAGCGATCGGCTATCATGGGCTGTTAGAACACGTTAAGTTGACCGGATATCAGTGAAAAAATTTTGGGCGTAAAGCGATTTTGAAAAATGACAGGTGTTTTTTCGAATTCTGATCGAAGTGCGGATCGGGGTGTTCCGGACCCCCCTGGGGGAAACGGTTTGGTGGGATGTTAGAACATGTTAAATAAACACGATTCGCACAAAAAAATGTTGGGCGTGAGCCAATTTTTTTGAAATATAATTTTTTTTGCGCGAACGCCATGTGAACTCACCCTAACTCTGAAAAAGTATGTTCCGGACCCCGCTCGAGCGATCGACTATCATGGGCTGTTAGAACACTTCAAGTTGACCGGATATCAGCGAAAAAATTTTGGGCGTAAAGCGATTTTGAAAAATGACAGGTGTTTTTTCGAATTCTGATCGAAGTGCGGATCGGGGTGTTCCGGACCCCCCTGGGGGAAACGGCTTGGTGGGATGTTAGAACATGTTGAATAAACACGATTCGCACAAAAAAATTTTGGGCGTAAGCCAGTTTTTTTTAAATATATTTTTTTTAGTGAGGACGCCATATAAACCCACCCTAACTCTGAAAAAGTATGTTCCGGACCCCGCTCGGGCGATCGACTATCATGGGCTGTTAGAACACTTTATGTTGACCGGATATCAGCGAAAAAATTTTGCTCGTAAAGCGATTTTGAAAAATTACAGGTGTTTTTTCGAATTCTGATCGAAGTGCGGATCGGGGTGTTCCGGTCCCCCCTGGGGGAAACGGCTTGGTGGGATGTTAGAACATGTTAAATAAACACGATTCGCACACAAAAATTTTGGGCGTAAGCCAATTTTTTTGAAATATAATTTTTTTAGCGCGAACGGCATGTAAACCCACCCTAACCCTGAAAAAGTATGTTCCGGACCCCGCTCGAGCAAACGACTATCATGGTCTGTTAGAACACGTTAAGTTGACCGGATATCAGTGAAAAAATTTTGGGCGTAAAGCGATTTTGAAAAATGACAGGTGTTTTTTCGAATTCTGATCGAAGTGCGGATCGGGGTGTTCCGGACCCCCTGGGGGAAACGGCTTGGTGGGATGTTAGAACATGTTAAATAAACACGATTCGCATAAAAAAATTTTGGGCGAAAGCCAATTTTTTTGAAATATAATTTTTTTAGCGCGAACGCCATGTAAACCCACCCTAACTCTGAAAAAGTATGTTCCGGACCCCGCTCGAGCGATCGACTATCATGGGCTGTTAGAACACCTCAAGTTGACCGGATATCAGTGAAAAAATTTTGGGCGTAAAGCGATTTTGAAAAATGACAGGTGTTTTTTCGAATTCTGATCGAAGTGCGGATCGGGGTGTTCCGGACCCCCCTGGGGGAAACGGCTTGGTGGGATGTTAGAACATGTTAAATAAACACGATTCGCACAAAAAAATTTTGGGCGTTAGCCAATTTTTTTGAAATATAATTTTTTAGCGCGAACGCCATGTAAACCCACCCTAACTCTGAAAAAGTATGTTCCGGACCCCGCTCGAGCGATCGACTATCATGGGCTGTTAGAACACGTTAAGTTGACCGGATATCAGTGAAAAAATTTTGGGCGTAAAGCGATTTTGAAAAATGACAGGTGTTTTTTCGAATTCTGATCGAAGTGCGGATCGGGGTGTTCCGGACCCCCCTGGGGGAAACGACTTGGTGGGATGTTAGAACATGTTAAATAAACACGATTCGCACAAAAAAATTTTGGGCGTAAGCCAATTTTTTTGTAATATATTTTTTTTCGTGAGGACGCCATATAAACCCACCCTAACTCTGAAAAAGTATGTTCCGGACCCCGCTCGAGCGATCGGCTATCATGGGCTGTTAGAACACGTTAAGTTGACCGGATATCAGTGAAAAAATTTTGGGCGTAAAGCGATTTTGAAAAATGACAGGTGTTTTTTCGAATTCTGATCGAAGTGCGGATCGGGGTGTTCCGGACCCCCCTGGGGGAAACGGCTTGGTGGGATGTTAGAACATGTTAAATAAACACGATTCGCACAAAAAAATGTTGGGCGTGAGCCAATTTTTTTGAAATATAATTTTTTTTGCGCGAACGCCATGTGAACTCACCCTAACTCTGAAAAAGTATGTTCCGGACCCCGCTCGAGCGATCGACTATCATGGGCTGTTAGAACACTTCAAGTTGACCGGATATCAGCGAAAAAATTTTGGGCGTAAAGCGATTTTGAAAAATGACAGGTGTTTTTTCGAATTCTGATCGAAGTGCGGATCGGGGTGTTCCGGACCCCCCTGGGGGAAACGGCTTGGTGGGATGTTAGAACATGTTGAATAAACACGATTCGCACAAAAAAATTTTGGGCGTAAGCCAGTTTTTTTTAAATATATTTTTTTTAGTGAGGACGCCATATAAACCCACCCTAACTCTGAAAAAGTATGTTCCGGACCCCGCTCGGGCGATCGACTATCATGGGCTGTTAGAACACTTTAAGTTGACCGGATATCAGCGAAAAAATTTTGCTCGTAAAGCGATTTTGAAAAATTACAGGTGTTTTTTCGAATTCTGATCGAAGTGCGGATCGGGGTGTTCCGGTCCCCCCTGGGGGAAACGGCTTGGTGGGATGTTAGAACATGTTAAATAAACACGATTCGCACACAAAAATTTTGGGCGTAAGCCAATTTTTTTGAAATATAATTTTTTTAGCGCGAACGGCATGTAAACCCACCCTAACCCTGAAAAAGTATGTTCCGGACCCCGCTCGAGCAAACGACTATCATGGGCTGTTAGAACACGTTAAGTTGACCGGATATCAGTGAAAAAATTTTGGGCGTAAAGCGATTTTGAAAAATGACAGGTGTTTTTTCGAATTCTGATCGAAGTGCGTAACGGGGTGTTCCGGACCCCCCTGGGGGAAACGGCTTGGTGGGATGTTAGAACATGTTAAATAAACACTATTCGCACAAAAAAATTTTGGGCGTAAGCCAATTTTTTTGAAATATAATTTTTTTAGCGCGAACGCCATGTAAACTCGCCCTAACTCTGAAAAAGTATGTTCCGGACCCCGCTCGAGCGATCGACTATCATGGGCTGTTAGAACACGTTAAGTTGACCGGATATCAGTGAAAAAATTTTGGGCGTAAAGCGATTTTGAAAAATGACAGGTGTTTTTTCGAATTCTGATCGAAGTGCGGATCGGGGTGTTCCGGACCCCCCTGGGGGAAACGGCTTGGTGGGATGTTAGAACATGTTAAATAAACACGATTCGCACAAAAAAATTTTGGGCGTAAGCCAATTTTTTTGAAATATAATTTTTTTAGCGCGAACGGCATGTAAACCCCCCTAACCCTGAAAAAGTATGTTCCGGACCCCGCTCGAGCAAACGACTACCATGGGCTGTTAGAACACGTTGAGTTGACCAGATATCCGCGAAAAAATTTTGGGCGTAAGGTGATTTTCAACAATTACGGGTTTCCGATCTGATTCAACAAGTAATTTTTTATATCTATATATTTTTTTGGAGGTAAACCACGAGTTAATGCCATGTCCACTCAAGCGCACTTGAGGTATGTTTGTCTTATGCGATTAACGCAAAAACCGCATTTTTTCATTATAATTTTCACGAAATAATAACTTTTTCGCGTTACTCACAACTTTGGGGATGTTTTTGGGGAAGGGGGGCTAGACTTCAATGACACATAAAAACACATAAAATAAACGATATTGCATGAAAACCGCATTGATTTACGCACATTTAAAGCCAAGAGAAGTGTTTGTATGTTGAAATGACAAATTTTGTGCACTGCTGCCTTTATAACGTTTTCGATCGCGCTCGATCGATCGGTTCTTCAGCCACATTCATGGTCAATGTGTTTGATATCAGATTAGATCTATTTCTAGTACTGTAGTGGTGGAAGTATGGATTCTGGAAAAGATCTGGATTTTTTTTATGAATACTATTGATTCTAAGATATAGATACCAGCCACAGTCACAACGCCCCTTTCTCTGAATACTTGATTTTCAGCTGTCATTGAAACACATTGCAAAGATGTTCCTAATGCATTTCTTTTGAAGGATAAGTGCTCTCTAGACAGTTGTTGAATTACCCCAAAAAATAATTCCGTATGACAGCCTGGAATGCACATATCCAAAATATGCTGTTAATGCAGCCCTCTTGCCAAGACTTCCAGACAATATTCCTATCACATAACTGAATTTGGCAACAGATTCACATACATCTTCAATATGGTCTTTCCAATTGAGGCAGCAATCTATACTAACACCTAAAACTGAGGCAATCTTTACAGCTTCAATAGTGTTTCCATTAAAATAGATGTAAAAGTTATTGCTAAGTTTCTACTAAATTGCACTAGTTGTGTTTTCTTTAAAGTCAATAGTAGTTTATTGGATGAGAACCAGTTCTGAAGTTGTTCTAAGTGGTCAATTGCACCAATTTTAGTTCTTGCCTCTGAGTGTTCACTGATAACAAAAGATGTATCATCGGCATATATGTTTAAATCCTGCATTAATTGCATTATGTCATTGACATATAGAATGTAGAAGAGAGGACCTTAGGGGACAGTTATATTGTCACTTGGTCCGTTATGAATATAAACCTTGTTATACAAACAGATAAGAATGGTTACTTGATTGGTGACAATATAATATATTATTTTAGTACATCATCGACTAGTATTGATATTTCCTCAAAAGAAGTTTCTGTGATGCCAAAAGGTATTGCAAGCTCCCTAGATGAGACTGGCAGCTGCATAAGAAGCTCTTCATCCAGAATTAACACTGATGAAAGGTATGTTTCATGAAAAATCCATGTACTGTAGGCTAATTTAATTTAAATTTGGAAATGTATAAATAGTACACAAACACAGAAGGAATTCTGTGATATGCTAAATCAAAAGTTTAATATGAATGCTTCAACTGAAAGTGAACTCAAGGTAAGGGAAAAACAAACAAAAACCACAGTAGGACAGTTAAGTATCATTAAAAGAACCTAAAACTTCCTGATCGAGGAAAAATACAAATAAATTGGCCTAGCCTATAACCAAAGTCACGAAACAATATTACAGCTCACCATATAGAAACAATGGGTGATATCCAATTTATTTATATTTTCCTATGTGTTTAAAGTTTTTCTTTCTTGCTTAACTGTTTATGGTGGTGTTAGCTTAAAACACTGGAATAATTCGAGTCACCTCAATTTTTAAGTTATTTAGACCTATGGAATGTCAGAAGTGGACATCACCTGAAATCATGAAAGATTTCAATTTCAATCACGAGACAATGGCAAAATGTGACAGGACCATATAGAAACAATGCAAAAATGTCATTCTTGAAAGTTGTTCTATATTGAAGTATTGAGATTACAAGTGTATTTTATTCCCAAGCTGCTCATACATACCAACATTAAAGATATTGAATTTTGCTTTTATTGTTGTTTCAGGCATGTCTGTCGGGTCCAGCCTCTCAAATATTTGAAAGAATGTTAAAAGGTCCATCAACACAAAAATATGATCCTGTGTTAAGAAGCTTAGCAGTGACCCTTGCGTTTTACTCACCTAAGGCGTATACTTTTGTTAGGAACACATTTTAATAAATCTTTACCTGATTTAAGTACAATCAGTAAATGGTATAAATCAGTTAATGGTTCTCCTGGGTGCACACAGGAAGCGTTGGAAACTCTAAAAATTCTAAAGCGACAAGCAGATGCAATGGGTTCACAAGTTCTGTGCAATTTGGTTTTAGATGAAATGTCTATTCGACAACAAATTGAGTGGACAGGAACCAAATTCACTGGGTATGTTGATATTGGGGCAAATATTTATTCAGATATGCTACCTGAAGCAAAGGATGTACTTGTATTTATGTTGGTATGTCTTAATGGATCCTGGAAAATTACTGTTGGTTACTTTTTTTGGGCTGGATTAGCTGCTGCGAAAAAGGCAGAGTTACTAAGAAATTGTTTTACCTTTTTATACGAGTCAGCTTAACCATTTTGATATTTTGCACATTTCTAAATCAATGCAATGTCCATTGTCAACTGCTTATTGTTAACATAACTTTGTGCTGGTGTGATATTTACAATTATTAGGTATATTTTTTTTGACATATTTCCTATTAAGAATGTCAAGAAAATTTTTTTTTGCATTGATTGATGTCCATATAAAATATTTTGTAAACCATCAAAAAACATTTTCTTAAGTAGGTATTTACTGTGTTTTATTTCTTCCATATTGGGGTCTTGTACCTACCACAAAAGACACACATTTTGCTATTTTTGTTTACAATCATAAAATGAAAGCACAATGTGTAAACACACTTCATTTTTTGCATTCATGGCCGATGATTAGATGTATGAAGAGCGGGGGGAGGGAAGGGGGGTTGCATGCTTTTTGTTGGAGACACCACGACCGAAAAGAGAGATATTTTTCCAGGCTTTTATCAGGAACAGTAGGATAGAGTGGGACGTATGGTCACCTTAATAATAGTATACATACAAGAAAGCCGTTTTGTGTACCTGCAATATACTGAGAAGTTTATTGGCTTTTATAGCCCTTCATGGTCTACATTGATACACCTATGCTGGGAATTCCGTAAGACGTCACTGGAAACAAAGCAGTGCTGCTAGTGCACAATATGACAACCATGTCGCAATCCCAAAAACAGCGGCTTATTCGACGTTGTCTGATTGGTCAGATTCAAATTTCCGGCGGGTTTCTTCCTGTGCTTTGCAAAAATAACCTTACCTTTTCAGCAAGCCATTTTCGTTGTGCGTAACATAAACACTTCATTTTAATTGAATAAAGTCCCTATTATGTTATTTGAGACATATGCCTTTTGTTCAGAGTTGTGAAGTATACAAATGTACCTATGTACCCAAAGCTGTAATATATTTTTAAATACTATAAGACAAACTCCAAATCAAAAGTGTATTTTTTAAGATGACCCAAAGTGATCCCAGTCTGTAGCCTAGCCAGGCTTCTGGCAGATGCTGAGGAAGATCAGAGATGCAACGGTTACTCATTTGAGCAATGCAATATTTTGAAGATCATACCTGTTAGAATCACCACATAACTTTTTGAACAGTGGAGCACTACGAAAAGTTCAGCCGCCGGTGTCAATCCCTGAGGTCCTGAGAATTATCAGAAGTTCGGAGATCACTTGTGATCTAACCAAAAGGCACAGCTCTAAAGGATATTTGCAGACCATAACATTTGTTAGTTTTTGTATAACCAGTGATGATTTGTACTGCTTTTTGTCCAAATTAGTTTCCATACTTCATTTTAAATCAGCTATTCTCAGAGCAGCAGGGTTGATATGCAAAGCTCACTATGGTTTCAATGGAATCGAAGCCTCATGTTGTTATTGAACAATAGCATGTGTGCCCACAGGGTGGTCTCAGGGGGGTCATGGTCTATTTAGCATGGTTTTGTGTACAACTTTGAGAATATTTTAGGATTTGTCCTCTGCTCGTCAAAAAAATTTGGGGGCAGGTACAATTTCACAAAAAGTTATGTTGTGATGAGAAAAATTCCTGTCGGTGTCCATGGACAATAATATTATTGTTCTAATAAAAAAAGAAATCTGAATTGTAATAACATATCAACACAGTTTAATTTCTTACTAATTTTTGATTTATGCAGGTGCCACAAAGACTGGGAATGAAAACATATGGACTATAATAATGTTAATACTGATTTGTTTGTAGAAAAATATATGAGATTTATATAATAAATATATATTTAGGTATTTGCAGCATGTGTTTTTCTTCACACCCTTTCCAGATTAGTAACTAGATACCTATAGCAGCTCGTGTTATTGACGTTGCTATTTTAATATACAAAGAAAGCACTTATTCGTCAAGATAGCGCAAAATTTTCATAACACATGCTGTTATAAGATCTCCCATATCCCACCAAATTTCGATATAATGGGTGATTTCTTTGCTAGTATCTTTTTTTCAACACTGTTTTTGACAGATGACGCGTGAATCGTGTCTTGTGTCATTGTCAAATTTGTTCAGTTTGGTGTTTTGTCTATAATTTAACCATGAATCGACATACGCACGAACAACGCTTGAAAATTATTGAATTTTAGTATCAAAATTCATGCTCGGTTAAGAGAGTGCATCGAGCACTGCTTCCAATTTATGGGCAATTTGGTCGGCCGACTGAGGGAGCTATTCGGAAGCTTGTGACTAAATTTCGAGCCCAGTTTACATTATTGGACATTAAACCACCAACACGCAGACGTAGAGTGAGAACTGAAGAAAATATTGCGGCTGTATCCGCCAGTGTTAGTGATGACTGTGAAATGTCGATTCGCCGCCGTTCGCAGCAATTGGGCCTCTGTTACTCCACTACGTGGAAAATTTTGCGACAGGATTTGGGTGTAAAACCTTATAAGATACAGCTGGTGCAAGAATTGAAGCCACACGACCTCCCACAACGTTTCCCATTTGGTGAATGGGCGCTGACAAAGTTGGAGGAAGATCCACATTTTTATCGAAAAATTGTGTTCAGCGACGAAGCTCATTTCTGGTTGAATGGGTACGTTAACAAGCAAAATTGCCGCACCTGTAGTAAAGACCAGCCAGAAGCATTGCAAGAGCTACCAATGCATTCCGAAAAAATCACTGTTTGGTGTGGATTATGGGCCGGTGACATCATCGGGCCGTACTTCTTCAAAGACGACAATGGCCGGAACGTAACTGTGAATGGCGAGCACTACCGTGTGATGATGACAACCTTTTTTTGCCCAAAATGGAAGAGCTGGACTTGGCTGACATGTGGTTTCAACAAGACGGTGCCACATGCCACACCGCACACGAAACAATGGCCCTATTGAGAGGCGAGTTCGGTGAACAGTTTATCTCACGTTTGGGGCCCGTCAATTGGCCGCCTAGATCGTGTGATTTAACGCCGTTGGACTATTTCTTGTGGGGCCATGTTAAGGCTAATGTCTACAGGGATAAACCAGCAACGATTGACGCACTGGAAGCCAATATTGAAGCATTTAATCGTGAGATATGTTGGAGAGAGTGTGCCAAAATTGGACCTTGCGCATGTGCCATCTAAAGCGGAGCCGCGGCCAACATTTACATGAAATGATCTTTAAAACATTAAATTATATCGACCGTTCTATCGACTCAAATAAAGATTTAATCGTTTTTTTAAATTTTTAGTTTTTTTTGAAAATCAAATACATACTATACCTCTTAAAAAATCACCCGTTATAAATGTATAGCAATCTTAGATTTATATGTACAGCTGGCAACGTTGCGGGGTATCAATACACAATCTGGCAATAGTGTCGCACCCTCAAAAAATGGCCGCTGACAACCACACAAGTCACCGTGTTTCCACTGAATAGCACGGAATTAAACCTTTTTCAGTCTTTCTGTGTATATGTTTCTTTTGTGGATACTCGTGAACGTGAAATAAGGTGTATTGTATATATGTTCTGTGGAAATAGGTTAGGAAAGGGTTTGAAAATTTTTAGTTTGTATTTTGAAAATCAGCGATGGATAGTAACATACCTTATACTGACCGCTTCAAAGTTGGGGACAGATTGGTGGTACAGTTGAATACAAATGAAATATTTGAAGGTGACTACTGTGGAGAAGGCAATCATTTCATTGATTTAACAAACATCACGCAGCACAACAATTCAAACAAGCTCAAAGGTACATTGGTAAAATGCTGTTTCTGAAAGCACCATTATAAGAGAAGTCCCAGAATAACGTGACTTCAGGACACGCGTTCCGCTATTTAAAAATTTCAATTTTTACATGAACAGTTCCAAAGTTTATTGGAGCTTTTAGTAGTACAATGGTCAAGACTCAAGAGTGGAAAAATGCTATAAGGAAATATTTAATGGCTTGCAGTGTTTATCTAATTAATATGATGCACTGCCCTGTTGGTCAGTATTCAGGTTGTTGGTGGAGGTGAATGTACTAACTGTCACTTCTGTCAATCTCTCATCTGTATAGAACTCAAAAACATAATGCCATAAGTTGCTATAAAATAAATGTTCAAAGCTGCTACCCTATAGGCCTCTTAATATTTTCAAACTTATTTTGTCCAGCACCCCTGAAGTTTTACTGTAGGTATGTAAGTTTCAATTATTATTTTAAATATTTTCAACAAAAACATTAGCCCCGGCATTGCCCCCCAAATCAATTTTTCACCTTCCAAATTCCATCCATTTCATTGCATCTTTGAATAGATCAAAAATAAATCTTGAATCATGAATGTGCATATCTAAAAATCAACAATTTAAATGAGATGAGGCCAAAAAAGTGTTCTCCAGTTAGGGACTCTAAAAACAATTATGTGTGTGGTAAGTTTGAGTTTCATGAGCTCTCTAAAAGGTGATAAAGATAGTAGTAAGGTAAATTCACCTAATAACGACCCATTAAAAAGTCGATCCTATTACCGACCCCTTTGCTATCACAAAATTATTTGATCAAATCAAGATCTACTTAAATTTCCCGCATTGCTTTAGACGCCTGATACGTGTAAAAGCATTCCTGTGCAGTAACAATTACATATTCAAATCAGATCTGTCAAAAAAACCGTTAGTTAGTCAACGACGTTCATTTAGTCGAGTGTTTGGTGTTGCAAAAGACTGTTATGGTAAGTATCAAAGAGTTAATTATTAAGCTTTTAAAATAAAAATATTTACATTTATGCAAGTATTCAAGTGAAATATTGTGCTCATATTCATTTTTTCTCAAAAAAATGTATTACTACTTAAAAAAATTGCACCAAATTTATGAAAACTGCTTAAAATCAATAGGGCAGCCATAGGGTAACATATTTTCATATTTTCCTATTACCGCCTTATATATCGCTATTACGATTATTCTTCACATTTAATAAGGAGACTTTTTTGGAATAAGTATTACTTTCTTAATCTTCAAATTAACTTGTTTTGTACTTAACATGGCGAAGTATCTTATTTTCTATTTCCGACCTATATAATATTTCTTCGTCTTCTATATTTAAAGTAGAATTCAGTCTTGCTTATATCCATATTATTCTAAATAATGCTACCTGCATTTTGAATGCAAAACTGTCTTTTTGTAGAAATTAGGAAAAGGTTTAGTTAATTTTTACATTTGCGCAAATTGGGTAAGATGTTTACAATAAAAATTGTACCCTAGAAATATATCCTATAGTAGTTAATATCACGTATAATTAGAGAAAATGATTGAAAGAAATAGCGCGGTAATAAGATAAAAATATTTTCTTTCCTCCCCATTGCCGACTTTAGATCCTTGTTAGGGATTTTTTAGAACGTCTTTTTAGGCATATTTTCAGAAACATGTATGATTTATTATCATAAAAGCTAATTCTTTAGGGAGATTGCTCTTTAAAAAATCTTATTTTCTATTTCCGACCTATGAATTTATTGTTCTAGATCTTAATATTTTAATTCAGTTACTTCGTTTGCATTACTATTTTACATAAATTAGAAAAATACTTTCTGAGTAAATTAACTTTTCTCAAATAAAATAGTGTTCAAGAAAGAGATTAACTTGACTCGGGCTGAACAGAAAAAGTGTGTACTTAATTTTTTTGTTTATTTCATCAGACTGGCAAAAGAAAAAGTGGTAAAGATTTATAATTTAATATCGTGCTATTGGGTCAGTAATTGGTTTATAGGTCTATACATTTTACCAATTACCGTCCTTTTTGTTTCAGAAATATGCCTGCAGAAATGCGGGTTAAATATACAAAAGATCAGCTATCTTGAGCTCTTGAAGCCATAAATAATGGAATGTCTGTCTATAAAGCGTCCCAAACTTTTAACGTACCGAAAACAACTCTTAGAGATAAACGTGATGGAAAGTACAAAAATGAAAAGTGTGGAGTTCAGCCGGTTCTTTCTAGAGACGAAGAAAGAACAATTGTTGAATGGATTGTCCATCTAGCAGCTCTAGGTTTTCCAGTCACGAAGTCACAGTTACTAGAAAATGTTTCAAACCTGGTGAAAAATTCACAATGTCTAAATCCATTTAAGGATGGTAAGCCTGGAAACAACTGGTATCAAAAGTTTATGGACCGTCATCCTGAAAGTTGCAAACGTGTATCGCAAAACCTTACTACAAGTAGAAGTGCAGTTACTGAAGTGGCTATTAAAAATTGGTTCCGAAAAGTCGAAGAATATTTTAGAAGCCAAAATATTATGGATATTCTTGAGGATGGCTCCAGAGTTTTTAACTGTGATGAGTTGTTAGGGATTTTTTAGAATGTCTTTTTAGGCATATTTTCAGAAACATGTATGATTTATTATCATAAAAGCTAATTCTTTAGGGAGATTGCTCTTTAAAAAATCTTATTTTCTATTTCCGACCTATGAATTTATTGTTCTAGATCTTAATATTTTAATTCAGTTACTTCGCTTGCATTACTATTTTACATAAATTAGAAAAATACTTTCTGAGTAAATTAAACTTTTCTCAAATAAAATAGTGCTCAAGAAAGAGATTAACTTGACTCGGGCTCAACAGAAAAAGTGTGTACTTAATTTTTTTGTTTATTTCATCAGACTGGCAAAAGAAAAAGTGGTAAAGATTTATAATTTAATATCGTGCTATTGGGTCAGTAATAGGTTTATAGGTCTATACATTTTACCAATTACCGTCCTTTTTGTTTCAGAAATATGCCTGCAGAAATGCGGGTTAAATATACAAAAGATCAGCTATCTTGAGCTCTTGAAGCCATAAATAATGGAATGTCTGTCTATAAAGCGTCCCAAACTTTTAACGTGCCGAAAACAACTCTTAGAGATAAACGTGATGGAAAGTACAAAAATGAAAAGTGTGGAGTTCAGCCGGTTCTTTCTAGAGACGAAGAAAGAACAATTGTTGAATGGATTGTCCATCTAGCAGCTCTAGGTTTTCCAGTCACGAAGTCACAGTTACTAGAAAATGTTTCAAACCTGGTGAAAAATTTACAACGTCTAAATCCATTTAAGGATGGTAAGCCTGGAAACAACTGGTATCAAAAGTTTATGGACCGTCATCCTGAAAGTTCCAAACGTGTATCGCAAAACCTTACTACAAGTAGAAGTGCAGTTACAGAAGTGGCTATTAAAAACTTTAGAAGCCAAAATATTATAGATATTCTTGAGGATGGCTCCAGAGTTTTTAACTGTGATGAGTCGGCTTTCTTTTTGTGTCCAAAAGAAAAGCAAGTTCTCGTTAGAAAAGGAACCAAGCTTGTTTATAACCGGGTAGCAAACGACGAAAAAGAATGTCTAACTGTTCTTGCAAATGTGTCTGCTAATCGCTCACCAGCTCCTCCTATGGTAATATTCCCCTACAAAAGATTACTAAAATTTATACCGTACACTGTTCCTAAGGGCTGGGGCTTAGGCTATACAGAGAGTGGCTGGATGAATTCAGAGGCTTTCTATGAATATGTTGCAAATGTTTTTTACCCCTGGCTGCAAAATCGGGGACACTAAGTTTCCAGTGGCTTTATTTCTTGATGGTCATACCTCCCACATATCTTTAGCCTTAAGTGAATTTTGTAAGGAGAAGGGGATAGTATTAGTCGCACTTCTGCCTAATTCTACCCACATTTTACAGCCATTAGATGTGGCCGTTTTTAGACCAGTTAAAACCACGTGGCGAAATGTGGTTCATGATTTTAGATTTAAAAACGAAGGGGCTAAAATCAGAAGAAGCGATTTTTCAAATTTGGTTAAAGCATGTTTTGAAAAATGTCTTAAAACAAGAAACTATAAAGAAGGGATTTGAATGCTGTGGCCTTTTCCCTTTTAACCCCGAAAGTATTAATTACAGTAAGCTCATGAAAAAATATATACAAGAGCAGCAAGAACCAGTTTGTAATAATACAAAGGATCAAAATGTAACAGGTCAGACAGATCATCATTTTAAAGAACAGCTGGAGGCTCGTCTACCTCTAGCAACACTAGAATTGTTCAAGTCTTAATATGCTGAAAATTGCAGTTTACCAGGACCATCGGTTAACGAAGGCACTAAAAATAGTAATGCACTTAGAACAATAGAAAAAACCTATAATACCCCGGATACATCACCTGTGAAAATCTTACTTCACGATAATATTTTAATTGAAGAAGACGCTAGTGAAAACGACACAAACTTAGATGTTGCGGCCACAACCGAAAAACCTAAAGAAAACCCCATGCTGCCAGTAGGTGAATCCGCAGAAGAACTTATATCCTTTAAAGTATCAACGCCGTTTAAAAACGCTTTTTACTTCCCTAAGAAAGTTGAAGACTCGGCAAAGAAAAGAGCTACGAGAAAAATTACGCCAGTAGTAGCAATTTCAGATGAATTCATGGAGTATCAGAGAAGAATCGAGGCGGAAAAAGAAAAGAAGCAACATGAGAAAGAACAAAGAAAAAGTAAAAAAGTAACAAATCAATTGCTAAAGAAAAGAAAATTAAATCCTGAAGATAATTCTGAAAAAAAAACGCGGAAAAGAAAATAAGTAATTACAACATTGGAGGCTATGTAATAACAATATACGAAGGAGAACTCTTTCCAGGAGTTGGTTGTGGTTATGATGAGAATGGAATAACGGCGGGAATAACTGTAAAATCAATGGAAATGAGTGGACCAAACTGGAAGTGGCCGGAAAAAGATGATATATTGACCTACGATATCAAAGATATTTTATGTAAAATTGAACTGCCTGAATTAATAAACAGCACGGGCATTTATAACATTCCAAAGATGGAAGAATTTAAAAAAAGTCAACCTAGTTTTTCATAGATGTAGTCATGTTTTTGTATTTCAAGTACCTAACTATTTTTGTGCTTATTTAGTAACTATTTCACCCAAGTTAGTAAACTTACTTACCCATTTAAATACCTACTTGTTTTATTTCCATAAGCGGTAATAGGTGACAAAAAGTCGGTAATAGGAGTACAAATAGAAGTATAGGGCGCTAATGGGATATATCCACATTTTTTTATTTTTTCAATATTTTTCAAAACAAGCTTATGGTAATAAACCGCTAACTCGATTTTTTTGTTTCCAATAAAATACTATATAGCACAGAGTCTTCACAATACCCATAAAATAAATACAACTCTAAATAATAATACCTAAACTTCGTTAAGTCTTAAGTAGGGCGGTAATAGGTGAATTTACCTTAGTAGTAGTTTGTTTTCTCACAAAACATGTTTACACAAGTCAGTTGTATTAAAGTTAAAGGGAAGCTTAGTATAAAGTAGAAAATAAATGACAAACAAGATGTATAAAAAACAAATACCACAAATCATAAACACCTACAGAGGTAAAAATTTCACAATAAGCCTATAAAAGTTAAAGTTATAAAACAAACTGGTGTCAAATTAATAAATAAAGATAAAACTACAGATAAAAAATAACTAATGGACAGGCAAAATCATTAAATGGGTGATTGTATGAATACTGAGTAAATTCAAAGGCAATTTGACAAATCAAATAAAATAAATATCTTAAATATTGTAATATTGAATTCTTTCACAGATCTATAGTCATTTAATCACAACGTTCATAGTGCTTAATCTGAGGTAAATGTTGACTTAAAATCTGTTAGTATGTATGCAAAGAATCATAACCTTCAGTTGGACCCTTTAAAATCGAAATTCATTATCTTTTCACCAAACCTGTTTAGAAGCAATGCCAAAAGAAAGTTTAATGTAAAATTAAATGCTGAGACTATAGAAGTGAGTCATCGAAAAACTTTAGACGAATGTCTAAATTTTATACCACATGTAAATAATATCACTAAGAGTTGTTTTTCAATTTTAAGTCTATTATATCTTAATAAACAATTTCTTGACTTTAAAACTAAAAAAATTTTGTGTGAATCTTTGGTAATGATCAAAATTAGTTATTGGGATTTAGTTTAGCTTCCATTTCTTGACTCAATATCTCTAACACGTCTCCAGAAAATCCAACACTCATGTTGGTTGATCAATAATTTGAAAAAATATATCAGCCGTTTTTTCAAAGACATGAAGTGGTTGAGAGTAAACGAACTATGTGAGCTATACTTAGGTACTTACACCCACAGACTTTTGCTATCATCCATTCCCCCGTTTTTAAGAAATAAGCAATATTCGTTCTAGGAACATTTGATTCATTGAACCACTCTCAATGTCCCTTCATAGGACATCATTCTTTTGTAAATGCTTCACCTACAATGCAATTTTTACAATGCTATACTTCGATTCACAGTCATCTGACGAATTTAAAAGACATATGAAAAAACTTCTTTTGAATAGAAATATTTAAATCAGTTGCTAAAATTTATCTGTCACTTCAGAGATATATTCCAATATAACATTGTTTGTATAATTGTTACAATATATACTTTTAACTCATGAAATATTGAGTATCCTTCAGTTATATGTTATATACATTATATTTTTATACACCTACATGTTTAACTTGTAACCTGTGTTTTTATGTTTTTGTATTGTTTTTCAGTTTTTCTTTTTTTTTTGAGATTAAGTGGCAGAGTAGCATTATGCTAAACGTTGCCCCCTAAATAAAGACGATTTGTTATTATTATTATAAAAATATATCAGCAATTACTTGGATTTTAATAATTTATGATTAATAAGTAATAATCAATATTCAATAATCGATAATTGACGATTGATATTTGATAATTGCTATTTGATATTCGATATTTGATGTTTCATGTTTGATAATTGATTTGACAACAGTATCTCGGTACATTCCAATCTAAGGTTGTCACGTCCATAGATTCATGATAATCTAGTGTTATTTGCGTTTATTTTTTCGAACAAGTGATCAGTTCAACACCAGTATGCCAATTGGTGGATGCGAAAATGTTGTAATGTAATAAATCAAGTTATACATGTTCTATTGTATCTTGAATGTTCAAAATGGCACGGATTGAGGGAGTTTAAATTTCAATAACCCTTCTACGTGTCACCAACATAGTAAAAGTAAAAAAAAGTATAGAAAAATGACATCCATACTAAGCTTAATGTAAATCATAATCCATCAACACCCTCAAAGTTAATGTTCTATTTCGATATACCGGAACCTGGGCGAATGCCTTATACTTTTGACATGCTTGCTGTTGGCGAAAGACTGTGTACAAGTCAAAGATAAAAAAACCGCCGCGAAAAATTCCCGCGGGTGCACTTTAAGACCACTCAGTTGTCGAAAAGAATGATTCTCCACTTTTTACCTCCAGCCGCCTCCCATCGACGTACGAGGTCTGTGAATTAATTGAAAAGACTTTTTTTTTATTCAAATATAACAGAATTTCGTATTGTCACCCTCAAAATAACTTCCTTCTGAAGCCACGCAGTGTTGAAGACGGTTCTTCCACTACTCATACGCCGGCTCCACACGTTGGCCCCAACGTTGCTACCAACGTTGGTCGGTTAAGTTGGTGAAGCGTCCACACGTTGGTTATTATACTAGTTCCTTTCTGTCAGAGCCAATGTGAAGATGTCCGACACCGAAACCGAAATTGCTCTAAGCGCTTTTACAGTATTGATGAGTGCGTATGATTTATATTTGTTATTGAAAAAAAAAAGAAAAAGCCACGTCAAAGGAGATGGTGGATGACAACGCATCATAAAACTACTATCAGTAAGTACAGACCATACACTCCATTCTAGCAGCTTTTTACAAGGCAATTTAATATTAAATTATCTAATAATGTGTATACAGTGTGTCCAAGATAAGGATGTCTATCA